GCTACTCAAATCAATGTTTGGAGCAGAAAGAAGAAATAAACATTCAACCGGAACAGTATGAAGAAACAAGAATTCAAAAAAGATGAGGAGAGGTTTAGGAACCTCCAGGACAACCTTAAACACTCCAATATCTGAATCATAGGGCTGCCTGAAGGAGAAGAAGAAGAGGAAGAAATGGAAAACTTAGTTGAACAAATAATGAAGGAGAACTTTCCTAATCTGACAAATGAAATGGACTTCCAGGAAGTCCAGAAAGCTTGGAGAGTCCCAAAGAAGTTGGACCCAAGGAAGCACACACCAAGGCACATCATAACTACATTACCCAAGATGAAAGATAAGGAGAGAATCTTAAAAGCCACAAGAGAACAAGAGATAGTTACCTAGAAAGGAGTTCTCATAAGACTATCAGCTGATTTCTCTAAAGCAACCTTGCAGACAAGAAGGGGCTGGAAAAAAGTATTCAAAGCCATGAAAAGCAAGGACCTAAATCCAAGATTGCTCTATCCAGCAAAGCTATCATCATTTAGAATGGAAGGGCAGATAAAGTGCTTCCCAGATAATGCTAAGTTAAAGGAGTTCATTAACACCAAGCCCTTATTATATGAAATGTTAAAGGGACTTATCTAAGAAAAAGAAGAAGATCATAACTATGAACAGTAAAATGACAACAAGCTCACAACTATCAACAACAAAAACCCCCCCAAAATCAAAAACAAACTAAGCAAATAACTAGAACAGGAAAAGATTCACAGAAATGGAGGTCACATGGAGGTTTACAGAATGGAGGGGGAGGAAGGAGAATGAGGAGAAAGGTAAAGGGAATAAGAAGCATAAATGGTAGGTACAAAATAGACAGGAGGAGGTTAAGAATAGTATGGGAAATGGAAAAGACAAAGAACTTATATGTATGACTCATGGACATGAACTAAGGTGGGGTAATGATGGTGGAAGGGCATGTGCAGAGCAGAGGGGAATAAGGGTGATAAAAAATGGAACAACTGTAACAGCATAATTAATAAAATATATTTTTAAATGTCAGTGTTTTCTACAATGTTTAAGTGAAAAACACATCATGGCAATTCTCTGCTAATGGCTTCCCATTGAAATAATATCCAGATTACTTACCAGGCCTCAAAAGGCCTACATGACCCAACTGCATCCATACAATATTCTCATTGTCACAGCCTCAGGGCCTTTGCACTTGCTGTTCCCTCTCTCTGAAAGTGTCTTCATGAAGATAACCACCTTAGAATGGAAGCTCCATTTGGGCCAGGGATGTCTGTATATAATGATCACTGTGTATTTCAAGTGTTTCAACAGTTCTTGACACATCACAGATGCTCAGTAAGTACTCATGGGTTGAATGCCTATCTTGAAACACATCAGCTATTTCTTTTCACTTACATCTCAGCTCAAATCTCTCCTCCTTGGAAAGCCCTTTCTAGTCATTCTCTGTCATGTCATAACCATGTTATAATTTTTGTAACCCTTGTCATTATCCTCATAAAAATTCCATTCCTTGAATGTCATCTAGTTTCCCCCAGGACAATAGAAGCTCCAAGACAGCAATGTTCTCATTGGCCTTATTCCCAAGGAGAACTCCTGATGTGGGGTATGGACATTCATTGCATTAGCCACTCCTCCCGTCACAACAGGCACACCCATCCATAGTAGCAGGCAACTATCACCCATATTTCTTGTGTCTAGTGACCAGTGACAAACCAGTAGTAATGACAATGCTCAGCACAACTACAGATACAAAGTATGAAGATGCCTGTCTGTCCTTATAAGTCCATGTGTCATTTTCATAAGAACCACCAGACCCTACAACCAAGTCAAACCATGTTCTCTGCTGGTGTCATCTGAAGGTGCTGGGTGCCCCTCATTCTGAAGTTCCTTCACTGATGGATTCTTTAATTAAAGTTTTAATATTTATACTTGTGCCTTGAGGCAGCATATTAACTACTGGATGTAGGCATTGAGGAGAGCCTCACAGCTTCTTTAAAACTATCATCTCCAAGTTTGAGGTCTCCGGCATAACACAGATTTGTCTCAGGCAATATGGGGGAATGTTAATGTGACAAGTTATCAGATGATTTTAGAAAAGTCGACCAGCATTAATCTGGGGAGCATGTTTACTGTATATCTACATACTGGTAGCCAGGGTGGGACTAGCAGCACTGTGTCCTTCAGAGTCGATGCACTTGGATTCCAACACTGAGACATTGCTGTGTCCCCACAGTATTTTCTGTGTCAGATCTGATTTCCTCTTGAATGTGTTCATGGCTCCACATATCAGCAGAAAGCATGCAAATAAAACGATCTAATTTTTGGAAGGGTAAAATATCAGACATTTATACAGGGCAGACCCAATTTACTAGATTAAAAAAAAAAACTCTATCTAAAAGGAATTTTATAAAATTTAATGATTGGTATGACTTGAACTGAAAAGGCTAAACTTTTTTTTGTAGTCATCAGAGACGTGAGGATGTCTGAAAGGCCTGTGCTCAGACCTGAGAAGAGCAGGTAAAAAAATAGCATCAATTATCATGAAGAGAAAATAGGGCAGAGTGGGTCAATTCCAGGAGGAGAGATCAACTCAGACCCGTGTTTTGGCTTGTTCTGACTGGAAATCTCTGGGACCACAGAATAATGTTAAAGACAGTGTGCTCTGAGGAAAGTAACATTTACTAAGAGGATACTTCCATCCCAGGAGGCAAGGAGAAGCAGGCCTTCCTGATAATTTGGAGAAATGCACACTTGTAAAAACTTAATTTCAGGGTATATGTGCTCGTTGAGATGGTATCAAATGCCACCAACCTAAACCCAGCCAGGAGGCGGCCTGTTACTGATTCTTCTTGAAAAATGTGGAAACTGGAAGAGAGGTCACACCAGCTTTCTCTCAGGTAGAGTGAGGTTTCTCTAAGCATCCTCACTTTTAGGATTAACTTCTTTTTGTTTGTCTGTTTGTTTTTAGTCCACTCCTTGTTGAAAAGAAAGTGTGTGTGTGTGTGTGTGTGTGTGTGTGTGTAGGGGAAACTGCCTGCCTTTTCTTTCCTACCAGGTATTACAAGGAACAAAATATAATCTATTTGCTTTAAAAATAAAAGAAAATTAACATTATCCAGGCATTTACCATGTGCCAGCCCCCGTTCTAAGTGTTTATTACTTTATTTTATTCTCCCCAAACTCTTTGAGCTCCATACTACCACTAAAACTCTCATTTGACAGGTGAACAAACAGGCACAGAGATGTTAAGTAACTTGGCCAAGGTCATACAGCCAGCAGGTGGCATAGCCAGGAACCCTGTGCTCTTCTCCACCATAATACTACTCTCTGAACCCTTAAGGGTCCTCGAAATTGTAACAAATAATGTCCATTTCTCCCTGCCCCAACTCAGCCCTGCTAATTTATGGGAAACCCAGTGGATTATGCTGTACCCGGTGCTTCCCAGATGAGCTCCAAAAGCAAGAAGGTGAGTCAGCCCCATGGCTTGTGAATGCAGACCCTGCCAGTGCCATAGTTACCGTTCACGGACCCCAGGTCTTCTACCACTGAAGAAGACAGACCTTGGTCCAAAATAAATCTGCTGATGGTTCCACCCAAGCCCTCTGTGGTCACTTAAAAATTCAAAGGATCCAGGCCCTGTCTTTTTTTTTTTTTTGTAACAAATGTAAATGGGAAATGGCAAGTGAATGAACTAGGACAAGGGCAGGGAGGGATCTCTAGCTGAGGTATGTCCTAAACTCAGGCCAACAAGGTCAGGCCTCTTGGTGCATTGGATTTTTAAAAAATAAAATAAATAATCATTATTATTATAAAAGATAATTCAAGGTATGGTGCATCATATTTCAGCTCAGACAAAGCTATTCTGAGACACCTCCCCCATTTTTTTCTAAGTTCAGCTTAGAAGAGCTGTTGTTGGGTGCCAGTGCCCTGAACTGCCCTGAGATTTCCAAGCACGGGAACAGCCCCACCCCACATGCTCCTGGGCACGCAGGTACATCCAGGTCTTTGTCTGAGCAGGAGCCAGGAGACCCTCATTCTCTGGTAGCAGGGAATGGAATTGGTGCCTCCTGGTCCCAGTAGGTCTGGTCCCCTGCTCTGTTTCTGCAAGCAGTTTCTGAGTGTCTAGTGACATCTGGTCCCTGGAGCTGGTGTCTCAGAGGCATCAGAAGGATCCCAGCAAGTGTCCCCCCTCCCCAACCCTGGGGCAGTGGGGATATGGGAGTGGCGCCCCGCTAACCCCGCCCTTGCCTCCATTCCTGGACTGGGGAAATTGGAGCTACCAGGGACTACCCCAGCCTTTGCTCCCAGGACTCCTCGATGCTGGAGATCTGCACCGCCTGGGTCTCCTCCCCGCCTCCGCGCGGCATTTAAAGCATGGAATGAACCAAGGGGGTCAGCTGGAGTTTCCAAGTCCTGAGTTCCCAGGCTGGCCCCCTCCCCTGGCGACGAAAGTGACATCTCAGGGTCCTGGTGCCAATAAACACAGAGACTCTACCTCCAATTCAGCGACCCCCCTCTTCTCTTTCCCTGCTCCCCGACCAGGGGTTCATCCTTGTCTGCACCCAAGCATCCGCTCCCTCAGACCTCCCGAATGGCTGTTAAGGCAGGGACCAGGGCTGCGCGATGAGTGCCCACTTCCAGCCCGTCAGGGAGACTAACCAAAGTGCGCAGGCAGGTTCCAGCCGCTCCCTGCACCTGGGACTCGCTCCCAGGAGGACGGACAAGGCAACCTGGGTGCTCCTGAGGGCTTTCGAGGAAGGGTATGCTTCTGAAAGTGACATGGGATTGGGGTACCTAGGGGGCTCAAGATCTTGGGACCCCAGGAGGATATGCAAGGAGACCTCTCCACCACACTGAAAAAGTTCCCAGTCCAGCCTGCCCACCCTGGCGCTGGGAGGAAGCCAAGCTCTTGGGCACCCAGCTCTTCCCTCTGTGGGACCCTTCGGTTCAGGTCAGGGGGACACAGAGGCAGTGACTCCGCTTGGACTTACCTAGAACTCCAGGCCAGCCGGGCTCCAGTTGCCTTCCAACCGGCCCCAGCTCTTCCAATTCCCTTGCGCTTTCTGCACCGCCAGCCACACTCACCATGAGCTGGAGGCAGTGCAAAGGGGGTGCCGGCTTCTCCTAAGCTGTCCGCAACTTCGCTGGCAGGTCAGCCCCACCCTGGCGCCCCTTCCTGGGCGGCAGGCTGGGCGCAGCTGGGCACGGTGTGAGCCGGACAGCCTGGGCCCTGACAGCCACGGCCAGGGATCTGGAGCGCCAGGTGCCTCAGCCCTGGGTGCGCTCTCCGCTGTTCCTGCTCTGCCAAGGTTGGAGGCTTACAGTTCTCCCGCTTGGGATGCAGGGGCGGGGCTCACGCCTGTCCCCTCCTGATGCCAGGTGTCCTGTTCACTCTTCTCCTGTCCGGAGGCGGAGGCTCACTCCTGAGTCTGGGTACTGCCGCTTCTGCCGTTCCGGGGATGGCACAGAGCCCCCACCCCACCGCGAGTACAGTCCGAGGCTGGGGTGCAGCAAGAGGGATTCCCTTCTGAGTTCGGGGTTCCCCACCCTGCGCGGCCCCCGGGCTAGGTCCGCTGCCACCTCTGCTGCGAGAACCACTTCAGGGCAGCGCAGCCTGTGGCACAGGCTCCAGCTGGAGGAGGCGGCGGTGGCACGGCTCGCAAGGGGACTGGAAAGGAGGTGACCTTCAAACCCCGAGCTCAGGAGACGGGGAGGAGGGCTGGGGTGATGGAGGGGAGCGGTGTGCACCCGGCAGGCCCAAGAGAAAGCTGGCGGGCGGGCGGGGGAGAGTAAAGAGAAGATCTTCAAACAAAAATATAGATTAGAAAATAAACAAAGGAGAGAGCGAGCGCAAAAATGTGTGCATGTATGTGTGCGCGTGTGCGTGCGTGTCTGTGTATGTGAGTGTGTGTGCGTGCGCGCACGACAGGCGGCGAGCAGCCCCGGCTGCGGAGCCAAAAATAATCCGGTGCACGAGGGAGCACTCCCTCCCCCTAGCATCGCAGGCGCTGCCGCTTACACCAACACCATCACCCGCGCAGCCCCGGATTCCAGCAGCGGGTGGCAGCTGATGCGACCCCAGTGCTCCTGCTTCTGGCCTAAGCAGGTGAAGGGGTGAAAGTGGGCAGTGGGGTCTATGAGCCCAGGCACTTTTCCTCCCAAAGACCTTGTCTCCCAAAGTGGGCTGGGTCATTGAACACCAGCGATCTCCTCCTTTGCTACTCTTCACTGCTCCCCAACCCCCAAGAAAGTAGACAAACACCCTGGAGAGATGGTAAGTGGAGGTAGCTTCTTGGCCTAAGTCACTTCTAGTCTGGGGAAGTTTTCTGGAGAATCTTTAAGTCTCCTGGAATTGTATCCAAGATGCAGAAAGTTATCCAGGCCCAATGCCATGCAGGAGATGAAAGCCTGCAAGCCTGGGCCTCCCCTGCCCTGGTCTCTTCCTGGCCTTCTAACCCTGCAGTGGGCGAGGACTCTAGAGGCTTCTGAAGATTGATCTCTTAGCAGTTCCCTTAAAGCCTGAAGCCCTGTGACTCCTTACTAAGCACTACCACTTAATAAGCTCTTATTTTCACCAGATTTTGAACATTTACATTGAACTTTCTTAACAACTAGCTGTAGTAACAAATGTTAGATGGGTTAAAGAATTTTTTTTTTCTTTTCTGAGCCCCGCCCTGGACTCAATGAGCCAGAAACTCTGTTTGTTTGTTTTTTTTAAAGTTAACATTCTAGGTGATTGTGTTGCACAAGAAAGCTTAAGGTCCAGAGAGTTAAAATTTGCTCAAGGTCACACAACTGGCAAGGAACCAGGACTCCAAATTTTCTGTGGAATATCACTTGTACCACCTTGTCTTCCGAGTGACAGGCAGAGGAATTGGACAAGGCCAGATCGAATTAAGCATTCAACCTGAGTCTTATGTTCATTTTCCTGCTCTCCTTGCATTGTTTTTTCCGTTTGCATCCTGGCTTCTCATCCAGGCAGGGCTGAGGGCTTCCCAAGCAGGGGGCAGGCTGCATGGCCGCAGTGTCCTGTGCACTGTCCAGTGCCTCGTGGACAACAGTGTCACAGGAGCTTCTCTGCAACCCTGCCAGGCCAGAGTTTCTCCCAACATGAGAATAAAACAAAGAAAGGGAACTTTTGTCAACAACTGGATTTTTTAATGTACCATTTTATCATCATTTGAGAAAGTAAGTTTGAAAAATCCAAAAAGATATCTTTTATCATTGGTCCCAGTAGGTGATTTTTGCAATTGGAGATGGTTTTACCATATGCTTCCTTAGGATTCTCTTTGATAATAATATATTTGTATATAAACAACTTTTTTTTCTAGTAGTCTCTTATCCTACAGTGATAGCACAATGAAGCCATAAATCTGGGTTAGTAACATCATAATCATTTCCCCCAGAAACTGTTCACAATGGGAAAACCACTGAATTTAAATGTAATTGTCTAGCCGTGCAGGGAGATGAGATGGGTTGTAAAAGAGGTATTCTCAATTTAAAAGCAAATTATCAATAATGAGAGAAGAAATAAATGGCAGTTAATGGGAAGTTCTGTGAAAATACAATGTTTTGTGCAAATTCACCAACAGGAATTGTTTCTCTATGCTCCTTCTTTTTTATTCCAGAAGGGGAAAATGAATGCAATCATTCAAGGCAGAAACACTGGCTGTTGTTTCATTAAAACGGGTAATCTCTGGGTGCTTTTATTAATTTTAATATATTTTTTCCATTGGAAATGAAATAAAACATATTCCATGATCTCAAAATCCAGGTCAGTCTGAATAGATTCTGACTTATTTATTTTAGAGAAGAAATAAGCTTAGATATATTAGCAATGAGTGTCAGGCATCACTCACGGATACCTGTGTTGCTATGTGGCTTAAGAACATTTAATGTGAGTGAGGGAGACATTCATTACAATTTAAAATAGAATTGAGTAAAGATCAATATAGCATGCTATTATGCTATTCATTTGGAAAGTATTAGTTTCTTTTTCACCATAACCTTTCCCATTCTGGGCAGTTTTTCTCTTTTCTCTCTTGAGCCAGTTGTAAGTAATAAGAGGTGCTGAAATAAATACCTTCTAGGACATCCTAGGGCCAAAGCACCCAGTTCCAATAGCAAAGAATATGGAGACTTTGGCTCCTCCTACTGGACATAAAACAAAAACTTTACAATTTGTGTTTTAAGCATATGTCAAAATGGCGTCTTCCATAAAACTGTTAGGAAAGAGTGACTTTGTAGTCTTATGCTTGGCTGAGAGTACATGAACCTTTCTCAAAGCTCTCAAGATCTATAGAGAGAGTAAATTTCATCATCTCATTTTCAAACTCAGGATCATTCTATGGTTCCTCATGGCCTCCCAAGGCGAAGACTGAAGTCTTCCACATGGGGTAAGAGCTCCTGGATTAACTGGTTCTCATTGTGTGCTGACCCTATGATCCAGCAGTAATGTTCTCTTGCTTGTCTACAATCCTTTGTTCCTTCAACCAGGAATACTTCTACACACTCTCTTTCCCTGGATAGCTTCTATTTATATTTTAGGTCTCCATTTGGACATCACTTTCTCCTTGACAAACCCACTCCCACACAGAGATACAGCCAGCATGCCTCTTTCGAACTCTCTGAGCACCTCACTTAACTTTATCGTATCATTTGTTTTTGCCTATAGTAAATGTTGTTTTCCTCCATTAGACTGAAATGTCCTTGATGTCAAGGACTTTTTGTTATTGCATGGAGCCAAACACATGATAAGCTTAATAAATGTTTGGTGAACCATCCTTCTTCTTTGCAGTGATTTGTCTCAATGGGCTGACCTCTTTGAGATGTACAGAAGAGATCAACACCCTCACCTGTGTTCAGTCTTTAATTTTTTTTCAGCCATCAACATGTATCTTACTGGAGGCGAGTCTCTCTTATAAACCATTTGTTATATAAACTAGAGACAGTCTCTGCCCTCAAGAAGCTGGTAGTCTAATGTGATAGGTAGGCACATAAATAAGTATCCCAAAAGTTTTGAAAGAATAAGAACATATAGCCAAACAAGTGGGAAAGAAAGAAGATCAGGCAAAGCTCCCTAGAGGAGATTGTCTCTAAGCAAAGAAGTCGGAATTGTCCAAATTGTTGGTGAAGGGCATTCCTAGAAAAGAACACAGCTTATGAGACTGTCTGAAGCAAAACGGAATATAGATCCTTTAAGATCCTTTAAGGAACAGCAAATCTGTTCCATAGAATCATGCTGAATTCAAAGGGCTAGAAGGTCGTAGGAGAGGCAAGACAGTGAATGCTGAAGACATAGGCTGGGGAAAGGGTCCTGACTTAAAATGAAAGGTATGGCTGCTTTACCACAAAGCAGCTTTTGGCAGAATGACTCAGACTTGTCAAGACCCACCATCCCTAACTCCAGTGCCCATTGCTCTGTCTTCACTGATGTCTCAATGATCATTTTACTCATTATTATTTTATATTTTAAAGAACTTTTCCAGATGGTCAATGTAAATGTCTAGTGAATTTTAGGGATTGTTAGGTTATTCCAAAGTACTCCAGGAGTTTTAGAGATGATGGGTGGTACATTAGACAGGCTAGGAGAAGGGTGAAAAATAAAAGAAGCTGAAGTCACCAAGCATCCTTCTGTTTCTCTTGCCAAAGGATACCTTTCAGTAACAATCAGTGAAGAAAGGATACTATTCTCAAATTTATTTATAAATGACTCTGACTCAATAAAATTCTTTGCATGATCCTAATGTGATGGAAGATCTGCCTTGCCTTCAAGTTCTCAGTCTTTAGGCTCACCTCAAAGCTTTGTCACAGTCTTGGCCAACTGATGAACTAATTAAGACAGGTTGAGGACCACATGGGAATGCATCACACCTTATATTCTCTATTCCCCCTTCAGTCATTGCCACATGGCAGATGCTCAATATATGGATGTTGATTGGTCCAACTAACTCACCATCTATCGTGAGTTTTTATATTAATCAAGGCTATTTAATGAGCCATCCAGTTTCCATGAATGAGTTCCCTTTTTCTGAAAAGACCAACTTTCTTTTTCTGTATTCAAAAATGTCTTTGAAATACTCAACATAATGGTTTCTCTACTTTGCCTCAAGCTCATCCCTTTTCCTCTCTGGTCTACATCTCCCAAATTTTGACGAAGATAGCAATAACATCAACAAAAATAACATTTTGAACAATTATGATGATAAGAATAGTAATAGAAATAATAAGCATGTGACATTTACTGTATAAGCATTTTAGTTGTATGATCTCATTTAATCTTCACAGTACAACTCTAGGTGTAAGTACTATTACAACTTTCTTTTAAAACAATGAGGAAAGTGAAGCTTAAAAGAAAGAAGAGGTTTAGTGAGTTGGTCACACCTACAGGGCTGGTGAATGGTTAGGACAGGACTCCAAACTAGTCTATTTTGTGTCAGAGTTGGGTTCATGAAGCACAAATCATGATGCATCTTGTCCTTCTGTTTACTAGGTCTCATACTCCATGTAGGTAGCCTTAAATCATGTCAGTGATTTATGATCATACATGTAGAAATTCCTAGCCTACTGGTCTTGAAGTAAGAAAAATAAAGATGGAGGTTTAGTGATCTGCAGCACTAAAGGGTGCCTGCTTATATAAAAAGCATTTTGGAAATAGGTATTTTGAGTGTGGTCAGAATTAAGTAAATAAAGAAAAAATCCCTACTGCTTGGCCAATGATAAGCAGAGACTAAGCTTATCATTGATTTAGGGTGACCTAGTTTATATGCCCTTTAGCAT